TCATTTCGTTTTTGTAATCTACAGGGGGTTGTGTGAGACTGTGAAGTGTGTGCGTGCGTGCGAGTACACCCCGCCGTGTGTGTGTCACTCACATACGTGCATGCGCTCGCGTGTATACGCACACACATATACACACTGTCACTCTCTGATACAGGGGTGCGCGCGCGAGCGCGTGTATATGCTGGCTTTCGGACTACAGCGTAATCGGTTCTTGCGCTCTCACACACACACACACACACACACACACACACACACACACACACACACACACACACACACACACACACACACACACACACGTAAACACACACACGTAAACACGCATTGACATACACGCATATAACCTGCACCGCAACACCATTCAGGGCGCTGACGTTGACGACGGTGACAACGACGCGCAAGTTCTTCACCATCCTGTTCTCGGTGGTGCTGTACGGGCACGTGCTGTCGGCTGTGCAGTGGGCGGGCGTTGCGCTTGTGTTTGTCGGCCTCTCCCTCGACGTGGTGGAGAAGAAGCGAAACCGCGACACCATGAGCGGCATGGACAAGGTGCGGCCTACGGCACCCGCCTCCGCCACTGGTGGTGATGGTGGTGATGGTGGTGATGGTGGTGGTGCCAACGGAAGCAAGGCGGCATCAGCTTCGCCATCGCCGGCATCAAACGCCTCGGGCAAGGAGAAGGCAATGTGACGCCATGACACCTCCACCGCCGCTGTTGGTGTTGGTGTTGGTCGTGGTGTTGGCAGATAGATGGTGTTGTGCTGCTGCTGCTGCTGCTGCTGCTTCTACTGCTGCTGCCCGCGTTGGCTCTGTCATGACAGCACACGCCTCGTGAGGAACTCAGGAGAAAGGCAAGAGAAGAAGCGCTTGGTGTGTGTGTAGATGTCCATGAGCACAGCACTTGTTCCTGTTCACAATACGCTTTCAACTTTTCTTGCCCGCCTGGCCGTCTGTCGTTTTGCCCGTTAATCCCTTTCCCTTTGCACCACCACCACCCCGATGTACACTGTGTTTTGTATTGTTGCTGCTGCTAGACCTTGGCTGGGTTTGTTCGCTGCGTTGCTGTTGCTGGTGGTGTTGGAAGGGATGTTGTTCCAACTCATCCATACACGCTCTTAGAGGAGCCAGTGCCACAGGGCAGCAAAGCAGCGACACATGTAGAGCACAGAGAGAGAGAGAGAGAGAGAGAGAGAGAGAGAGAGAGAGAGAGAGAGAGAGAGAGAGAGAACACACAGAACACACACACATACACACACACACATACACACACACACACACACACACACACACACACACACACACACACACACACACACACACACACACACACACACACACACACACACACACACACACACACACACACACACACACAGAGCAGAGCACACCATATGGACTACATTTCATGGTGTTGGTACCAGTTTTCGTAATCCCCCACCGCTGCTGCTGCACACCACGAGACAACCACGAACGATGAAGGGTGGGAGTGAACGGGACGTGGTGAACGAGAGCACAGACGAGCTCCTGCACCACATGCACAAGGACGCCGACAATGTGGCTCATCCAATCAACAACATTGAGGTGCGTGACACACGACACATGTGTGTGGTGTTCATGCCGTTCTTTCTCTCGTTCGTTCTTGGCTCAATGGTTGGTTTTCAATGCCCACGTGGTGCACGTGGTGGGTTTGTCATGTGCTCATCCTGCATGTGTGCCGTGACAATGACAGGACAAATGGAGGCTGCTGCCTTCCTTCTTGCAGCTAAAGGGCCTTGTGCGCCAGCACGTGGACTCGTTCAACCACTTTGTTGAGATTGATATCCACAACATCGTCAAAGCCAACAGCAAGGTGGGAGAGAGAGCGTGTGTGTGCGCTTGTGTGAGTGTGTGGGTGAGTGTGTGAGTGTGTGAGTGAGTGTGTGAGTGAGTGAGTGTGTGTGTGTATGTGTGTAAGTCTGCACGTGCTGGTGCTACGTTTCGGCTCACGTTTGGCGCACAACACCAAACCAACTGTGTTGCACGTTAGATTGTCTCCGACGTCAACCCACGCGTTTACCTGGAGTATACGAGCATCCGGTGAGTCCATTGTACCCAAGGGCGACGAGCCACGTGGTGCTTGTTGTGTCTTGTGCTGTTGCAAAGCGCCGTGTGTCACCATCACCGCTGCTGCTTGCTATATGCCCTCGCTCACCTTTGTTTTGTATTTCCACAGTGTGGGCGAGCCCGTGATCCAGAACGGCCCCTTTGACGACCACGACGTCACGCCAATGGAGGTCAGTGAACTTCACACGCTCTCGGGTCCCTGTGTGTGCACTGCTGTCACTGACAACCCAGTACTGCTCACTGCTGTGAATGTTGCCGCCATTCACATTGCATGTGCATCTGTGCATGTGTGTATGTGCCTGCTCTGTCGCTTATTTCCGTCGTTGTTCTGCGCCAGTGCCGGCTGCGCAACACGACGTATGCGGCTCCCATGCATGTGAACGTCAGGCTCTCCCTCAGCGGCGAAGGTGTGTCACACACAGCATGGAGCGGCTGCCTGCAACGTTCACCCACTCACCCGCTCACCCGCTCACCCGCTCACCTGCTCACCTGCTCACGTTCACCTGCTCACCCGCTCACCCGCTCACCCGCTGGCACCACCTCTTCGTGTGCGCGTGCGCGTGCGTGTGTGTGCGTGCGTACAGTGCGCAACTACAACGACATCTTGATTGGCCGGCTGCCCATCATGCTGCGGAGCAAGAAGTGCCGTCTCTTTAGTCAGTTGTTCCGTACAGCGAGTGGGGAGAGGGGCCAAGATGAGATGTGGGAAGAATTGTGTGGGCTGTGACTGGCTCGAGTGATACATGGCTGCCGGAGTATCATATCTGTGTATACTCCGTCTACTCGGTGTTGTGTTGTGTACGTGTGTTGCTCGCATTTGTGCATGTGTATCTTTGTGTGTACATGCCACACGTCTGTGTACACGTGGGCAAACACGCATGCGCGTTACCTCGACCTGACTTTTCCTCCTGTTCCGCTTGATTGCGTCATGGCGGTGCTGCAGAGGCCAACGACGAGCAGATGGCGAAGATGGGCGAGTGCCCGCTCGACCCAGGAGGTGAGCAACAGTAATCACGTTGGTGTATGTGTGTACGTATGTGTATGTGTACGTGGACGTGGACGTGTATGTGTATGTGTATGTGTATGTGTATGTGTATGTGTATGTGTATGTGTATGTGTATGTGTATGTGTATGTGTATGTACATGTATACGTGTAGCTGTATCTGTGTGGACGTGTGTATGTGTGTGCGCTGGAAGGCAAGGTGTGCATGTCAATGCACCCCACAAATGCCATCTCATATGCTGTGCATTACTTCCTTGTTAATCATCCCCGCAATTGCTGTCCCTCGGTGCGCGTTGCTCAACCCTACCCCCCTCACCACCTCCAATGCATTGACTGCTGTCAGGGTATTTCATCATTGGTGGCACGGAGAAGGTGATTCTCATGCAGGAGCAGCTCAGCAAAAACAGGATCATTGTCGAACGCGACAGACACGGTTCGTTCATGATGGCGGTCTGTGATGGCGTTGGTGTGTGTGTGTGCGTGTGTGTGTGTGTGTGTGTGTGTGGTGTGGGGGGGTGTTGTTTGCATGCTTCTGGTCGCGTGTTTCGTCATGTCCTCGCACGAATGTCTCAATCCCGACACCATCCACCCAACTCATCATCATCACCACCACCAGGGGAGATGTCTGCCTCGGTCACGTCGTCCTCGGCCGAGCGAAAGACGAAGACAATCATCAATATGAAGCGTGGTAACTTCATGCTCAAGGTCAGCACACAATGTCCAGCTGCTCACATGTCATGATGTCTTTTGGGGGGGGCTGCTGTGCATCTACATGCTTGCATCTACATGCGTGCATGTACACATTTGCGTATGAATGTGTGTGTGTGCACACACAAGGAGATCATGAGCCATTGCTTGTCAGTTTGTGCCCACGACGTCAGCCCACTTCACCCCGTCACACCCCCGCCTCGGTTGCGAGACCAGGTGAACATGCTTGCCGAGGACGTACCGCTGGTTGTGGTGCTCAAGGCGATGGGGATGACGTCCGATCAGGAGATTCTCCAGTTCATCGGCGCAGACGAGCAATCGGTGCGCACGCGTGGCAGCGATGATGACGGCGATGGTGGTGGTGGTGTACACGTGGTGGTGGTGGTGGTGGTGGTGGTGTACACGTGGTCATGTACACGTGGTGGTGGTGGTGGTGTTGATTGTGATAGTTGTGCGATGGTAACCGTGTGTGTGTTGTTGGTAAAGGCGTGCATGTGTTGTTTGCACACGCGCCAGTTGTGCTGTGCAGCAGTGTCGGTATTTACTGACGCCTGGTGCTCACGTTCTGCGAATGGCAGATGGAGCTGTTTGGACCGTCCCTCCAGCAGTGCGCAGAGCTCGAGGTCTTCACCCAGGACCAGGTGAACAGCACACACACATGCACACACGCACACATGTACACATACATGCATGCACCTGCACATGTACACACATGAACGCATACACAAACGAGCACATGCACAGGCACACGATGCACATGAACACACGTTCACACGCTCGTTTCGGTTGAATCGCCCCAATAACACCACGTTCCACACCCCTCTTTCGTTGCATCGTGCGTATTTTGCCTGCAGGCACTGCGCTATCTTGGGACAAAAGTTCGCATTCCACGGCGCGAGTACGGGCCGTCACGCCGCACGAAGGAGGACGAAGCACGCTCCATTCTCGCATCTGTTGTCCTCTCCCACATTGAGGTGCTTGCAAGCAACGTGGTGGGGCAGGAGCGCAGGGGGGGGGGAGTAGCGAGTAATGTGTGTGCACATGTTTGTAATCACGCCAGTGAAGATGTGTGCGTGTGTGCGTGTGTGCTCGTGTACAAGCTGCCCAGCGCTGTGCATGCTTGTTTGTGTTTGCGTTTGTGTTTGTGTCAAGAACGCCTTTCATCTCACCCCTGTCCTCATGCGTGCACCATCAACACCATCAACACCATCAACACCACCGACAGGTCCGCAACTTTGACATGCGGCCCAAGTGCATCTACCTGTGCGTGATGGCACGTCGCATGATCGCTGCAATCCGCAACAAGGTGACAACGGCAGTTGTGATGACATGTTGGTGTTTGGAGTACACATACACACGTGTACGCAGAGATGTCGTATACATGCACACGAGTGCACGGCATGTGCTCACAGTCACGCACGTTAATCCTGCCATCATTGTGTGTGTATCTGTGTGTGTGTGTGTATCTGTGTGTGTGTGTGTGTATCTGTGTGTGTGTGTGGTGTTGTGTGTGTGTGTGGTGTTGTGTGTGTGTGTGTGTGTGTGTGTGTATGTGCAGAGCGGAGGTGACGACCGCGACTACTACGGCAACAAGCGGCTGGAGCTCGCCGGATCCCTCATGGCCCTCCTCTTCGAAGACTCCTTCAAGACACTCAACGGACGGGTGCGTGCTTGTGATGTGTTTGTGCGTGCACGTGTGCGTGCGTACGTGTGCTTGTGTGCTTGTGTGCTTGTGCATGTGTGTGTGTGCGCTTGATTTCGTGTCTGTTTACTCCATTGTACGTCGCTCCACCCCGTCATGCCTCCCCCCCCGTAATCACCACAACTACAACCCCACCCTCCCCCTCTCTTCAGATCAAGCGAGAGCTTGACCACACGTTTGTGCGCGTGACGGCGCGAGCGTTTGATCCGGCGCAGATTATCCGCGCCAACCCAATCACCCAGGGTAATATATTTCAGCCCTTCTCACGACTGCACTGCATGTGCTCGTGACACATGACGTGGGGTGTGCAAGTGCAAGCTTTGCTTGTGCATCTCCTCTCGTGTTTCACTTTATACCACTCACATTTCACGCACACGCATACGCGCACGCACCACACACAAACACATGACACACATAACACACGCACGCACACACACACACACACACGCACGCACACACACACATGCACACCACCACTGCAGCGATCAACTATGCGATTTCGAGCGGCAACTGGAACCTGAAGCGCTTCCGCATGGAGCGTGCCGGTGTCACGTCGGTCCTGTCGCGCCTGTCGTTCATCGCTGCACTCGGCATGATGACACGCATCACCTCTCAGTTTGAGAAGACACGCAAAGTCAGCCATCCCGTGCTGCTGCTGCTGTTGTTGTTTAAATTGTTGTTGTTGTCGTCGTCGTTGTCGTTGTTAAGTTGGTCGAGTGTTTGTGTCTGCTCTCAGCAAATGGTTGCGCTGATGTTCACCACCACCACTACCACCATCATCATGACTGTGTGCAGGTGAGCGGCCCTCGCTCCCTCCAGCCGTCCCAGTGGGGAATGCTCTGCCCAAGCGGTGAGACGATGCACACACACACACACACACAATCAAATATATTTGTGCACAGACACACAGACACAATCAAAGATACTTGTACACACACACACACACGCACAGACACACACACAGACACACACACACTCTCTCTCTCTCTCATGAATGCGCACGAATGTACTTATCATCAACACTCACCTCCTGCTGCATGCGTGCGTGCGTGTGTGTGCATGTGTATTTGCTGACCAGATACGCCCGAGGGCGAGACGTGCGGTCTTGTGAAGAATCTTGCGCTCATGTCGTACGTGACTGTCGACGTCGACGAAGCCCCGCTCATCAGGTGCACACACACAAACACACATCTGGTTTGGTGATGTGTGTGTCAAGGCATCATTCTCCAACACACACACACTCACATTCACACACACACACTCACACACATTCACACACTCGCGCACGCACACTCACACACGCACACACTCACCATCTCCTTCCCTCCCATACGCAATCTCACGCCTGCTTCAACGCCATCACAACGCCGCTGCTGCCGCTGCTGCTGTCAGGCTCGCGTACAACCTTGGCGTTGAGGGGCTGAATCTTGTCAACGGGGAGGAGTTTTCGCATGAAGACACATATGTCGTGTTTGTCAACGGTACCATGCTCGGCGTCACGCGCAGGTACCGCTAACACCAAATGGGGTGAGGTGGAGCGGGTTGTTACTGTCGAAGGTGTTGCCGCTGTTGATGTAAGAGGAGGAGGTTGGGTTGACAGCGCTAACCACAACCACTTTCTCACATTCGCACACACACACACATACACATACACACACACATACACACACGCACGTGCGCTGTCATACCTTCGATTCAACACCCACGTGTCCAATGGTCCTCGCAACCTCTATTCTCCCTGGCAGCCCACACCACCTTGTGCGAGCGGTGCGGTTGCTGCGTCGTGCCGGCCGCATCAACGAGTTTGTGTCGGCGTACATCAGCGCCTCAACCCGGACTGTCCACATCGCCAGCGACGCAGGCAGAGTCTGCAGGTAGTGCATTCCACTGTGCTGCTCATCGACTTGCCCGTGCAGCCGTGCATGTGCTCACTGTTCAATATCCTCGTGACTGCTGCATTGCACACGCATGTGCATGGAATTTATTTGCACTGCATCCCCAATCACAACCCCACCAATCATCAACCACCATCATCCAACCACTCACCGCCACCAACACTGACCACTCTCCTCATCACCACCATGGCTGGTTTGGTCCAGGCCGTACATTATTGTGGAGCACGGGCAGCCGCTGGTGACGCCGCAGCAGCTGCGCGACCTCGCTCTCGGCATCCTCCACTTTGATGACTTCATCAGACTCGGGTACCAACACATGCTGTTAGACACAACACACACACACACAACACACACACACACAACACACACACACACACACACACACACACACACACACACACACACACAAACAACACAAACAACACACACACGCGCGCGCCTGCTTCACCTCCACCTAACCCTCGCATGCACCATTTTCAACCCATATATGTGTGCGTGTGTGTGATTCAGGGTGGTCGAGTACCTTGACGTGAACGAGCTGAACGACAGCCTGATTGCGCTGTACGAGAAGGACATGTGCGAAGAGACGACGCATCTTGAGATTGAGCCGTTCACAGTTCTGGGCGCCTGTGCGGGCCTCATTCCATATCCGCACCACAACCAGTCCCCGCGAAACACCTACCAGTGCGCCATGGGCAAGCAGGCAATGGGTGTCATTGCCTACAACTACCAACGCAGGTGGGGTGTGCGTGTATGTAGTTGTGTGTGCGTATACATGTGTGTGTGCCGTGTTGCATGTGACAAGTGTGCTTGCGTAACACTTTCACGTTGTCAACAGCCACCCCCCTTCTTCGCCCTTCAACAACTTGGTTGCACCCCTCACCATCGCGTTGTGGTTGCGTGTGTGCTGGCAGGATCGACACGCTGCTGTATGCGCTCATGTATCCGCAGCGGCCGCTGGTGAAGACAAAGACCATTGAACTCATCGACTTTGAGAAGCTGCCGGCTGGGCAGGTCAGCTGTCATGATGATGATGATGATGATGATGATGATGATGATGATGATGATGATGATGATGATGATGATGATGATGATGATGATGATGATGATGATGATGATGAGTGGTGGTGGTGGTGGCGTG